CTAAGCCACCATGCAATGAACAATAATAATTTGTTATATAGCGATCAACGTATAACTGTTCTTAACCAACATTTAAACATTTTAATCCCTAACACGGAATATATCTTGTTCAATTTGCATAATACATAAATTTTAAAATTTGAAATTTACTAGTTTCAAACCTCCAATATTTAGCGTGCTTATAGAGTTTCGGGTGTATAACTTTACTTGAGTGGTTTTTTTTTTATCGGCAAACTAATTCATTAAAACTTAAAACGTTTACAAAACTACAACTGAAATATTCAAGACAACCAAGATATTACATAATTGGAGTTTGATAGTCTAGCTTGAGTGGTTTAGGTTGCAAGAGCAAGATCAATGCAAGTTTTCACACATGAAGTTAACGAAAGTTAAAAGTTTGGAATTTTTTTTTAGGCCAAGCATGATTACGAAAACAATAAGTAAAATATTGTGACGGGAATAAACGAATATGCTTTGACAATGATTTCTCTCCAAATAAAATCCAATATGAGTGGTACTACATCGGTGGGGATGAGGCATGCTCGTCGCACGTCTTCGAGACTCTGTCTATCATTATTATTATATTATCAAGATACAATTTCTAAAATATAAAGTTACATCATCCACATGTGTTATGTGTATACATGTAATTGGATTTTTTAGACTGATTCTATGCTTTTTCTTTTCATGAGTTAGGCCATAAGCGACGACAAGATAGCACATGTCTTTTGCACATATTCAACTTTAATTAAGAAATTATACCACACAAATATGTGTGATGTTCAGTTTGGTGGATTCTTATATTCGAATCCTTGTCGACAAAACATTAATTTGTATAGACTTTTAATTCGAAACCAATTAATAATAAATATATTGGTTTATGTCTCTTATATATGGAGTATCTAGGTTTTTTTTTAACATCTAATTGTTTCATTAATTTCAAATAATATACAACAGTAGATACTGTGACAAAAAAAAAAAAATACAAGAGTAGATACATCTATAGTATATCAATAATGAGCAATTTCAAATACACATTGACAAATACATAATCAATCATAAAAAAATTGAAAAAATGAATTTCAACGATATTTTTGATATCAAAACCTTACTCACCAACGGGTTGTTAAATCAGTTTCTTTCATTCTCCAAAATCAATCCAAAATAATAAAAACATCGTTTTTGGTTACTATTCTTTAGATGAAACTCTATAGTAATTTAATATTATTGATGATATTCAATGTTTTTTCTTGCATTGATTCGTCGATTCTCCGTAACTCTGTTATAGCTCAATTTTTGATGTGAGATTGTTAACTCATAAGTATTTTCGAAATGATGGTTCTTCCGTTGAATCGAATTCATGAATCATAAAAAAAAAACAATTTTGTCACACCTGAAAAAAAAACAGAAAACTGCTTGTCGTTTTTGTGGATTATTAAGAAATCTTTAGAAACAACACAAAAATGATGAGCGAAGGGCTCGCCGTCACTAATGATGCGGTGGCACTTTTGCCGTTAAATTCACAATCAGCCACAAATGGTCGACTCAACCACACGCGTCAACTATAACTTGAACCGTTGGATAAGGATTCTTTCATTTCTTAACCCTCATTCAGATCAAATCCAACGGTTTTTACGCGCTTTTAAATTCTGTACGCTGCAACGGACCGTTTCTTCGAAATCAAAAACTCCCAAATTAATTTCACTTTGTAACAATAATAATAATAAACTTTTTTCCTGTTGAGAAAATAAAACAGAAAATTTATTGCCTTTTTGTCTTCTTCTTTGGATTATTACGAGATTCCCATTCCTTAAAACGCTCTATATTTCGATTTAAAG